TATATATATATACATTAATTATTGAATGATAATGTTTTAATATATCTTTCATTGCTCTGTTAGCTTTGACTTATGTCTTTTCACTACACTGAATCACTGATTAAACCGTATTGTTTCTTTTCTTTCACTCTAGAATCAGGGATGTTTGAAGAAAGGCAAACGATAAGACCATCAGAAGCAAGTATGGACGACCTACGTGTTGTTCATTCATCCACCTACTTGTCATCATTACGCTGCCCATGTTATGTTGCGAAGATGGTTGAAATTACACCTGTTGCACTTCTACCTCCATGTATTATCAACAAAGTCCTCCTGAAACCGTTGCGATATCATACTGATAAGTTTGATAAGCATAAAACAATATGTACACTTTCATTTGTTTTTAATCGTTTTAGTGTTCGTTTATACTAACTGTTTACTAGTGTTTAATGCACGTTTGTGCAGGCTGCGCACGGATTGCGTTAAATGCATCGGTGCATATTCATTGAAAAGTGCACTTTGTTGTAATGCTGCACTGTTTGAAGTTGCACAGGTGGACAAATGTATTTTTCTTTCGTCATTTGAAGGCGGTACAGTACTGGCAGCCAAGCTTGCACTAACATCCGGTTGGGCAATAAATATTGGTGGTGGTTTCCATCATGCAAGTCGTTCAAAGGGTGGTGGCTTTTGTATTTATGCCGATATCACCTTGGCACTAACATTCTTATTCTCCAGTCAGTTGATTTCAAAAGCAGTGATTGTTGATTTAGATGCTCATCAGGTTATTTCATATGTACTTTAACTGCGTCTTCATGTCTTACCGATGTTCTTCTTCGTGGTCTATCATACACCATTTTCCAGCTGATCGCATTTTTATTAATTTTTGTTGAAGTTAAATTCTACTTCAATTTTCAGTTCTATGCTGATCGAGCATTTATTTCAGGGTAATGGTCATGAAAATGATTTCAGCGGTGACAGTCGTGTTTATATATTGGATATGTTCAATAGTCGTATTTATCCGTATGATTTGAGAGCAAGACGTAAAATCATTGTTTTCTCATTCTGTTCCTGAAATTGAAACGAATATGTCCGTGAAGTTAAAGATAGAATCTTGAGATTCAATATGTGGGAACAAATTTTTAATTGTGGATTGACCTAGAAAAAGGAGAACTTTTCCTGATGCAATGTATTATATCTAGACGAAATATCAACTTTTACTGATTATAGTCTTTAAATCAAGAAATGCGGGACTATAATTTTTAATTTATTTTCATAATATCCAACATTATATCAGGTTTTATACTAATTCAAAATTATGTCTATTCTTTAGGTGCTATAAAAAGATCAGTTCATCTTCATGTTGGTACACAAGATGCAGAATATCTCTCTTTGCTTTCGAGTAACCTTGAAGATGTCCTGAGCGAATTTCGGCCTGATATAATCGTATATAATGCAGGGACTGATTGTCTTCGAGGAGATCCACTTGGTTTATTGTCGATATCTTCGAAGGTTGCTGTATTTTCCTTAATGTTTGAAACCTATATCAGCAGAAAGCAGTTCAAAAGTCCAGAGTAATCTACATGTCCAATTAAAAGCGTTTTTTTCTTTTCTTTTTTTTTTTGTTTGCGATACCTTGTTAAAGTAGTGGTTTTTTCCTGGTCGGAATCAGATCATTTTTTGTTAAAGTAATTTTAGGGAATTCGAAAGCGTGATGAAATTGTTTTCAAAATGGCTCGTGACAGACATATTCCGGTTGTAATGCTACTTAGTGGTGGATATATGCCACATACGCATGAAGTCATTGCCAAGTCGATCCTGAATTTGTACGATAAAAATTTATTAAATGTGGAACTATAAGCAAACTTCATATAATCCAGTATTTTCAGAAGGAAATCCAGTTTACTGCAATGATGCGATAGTCTTTTAATATTTCCGAAGAACGATGGTTCCATTAAATAGTCTTTCATATCTTGCACTTTTTTCTTTAATTATTATCAAAAAAGCCGAAACAAAAAATTAAGAAATCGACATATCACATGTCAAGTTTCTGAAAATACTATATAATTTATAAATTACTTTAAATCAAAAAGAAATTGCTACTATAAAAGGAGCTTAAACGCTTAAACACTTAAAGCTTAAAGCTTAAACACTTTTTCAATATTACTAACAGTGTGTTTAGTTTAAATACCTTAATGAGGTATTTAAACTAAGCATACTGTTAGTAATATTGAAAAAGTGGTACAAATGTTATGCTGAAACTAACTCCTAAGCACTGCGTATTTTACCTCATTCATGTACTACGTTTGAGATAAACAGTATTGTTTTTATCTCTTTATTGTTAGCACTTATTCTTATGTGTAAAATTGCTGTAAAATTAAACTAGGATACGGACATGTATAAGAGAAAGAAAAGGAATGAGAACGAATCGGGAAATGTCAAGATAATTTCGCTTAGTGATGAGATTGAACCATCTGATAGGCATGAAGCTTGCAAAAACTATATGTGCTTTGCCTTCATTTTTTCCTTTGATTTTTTTCTCTCGAAATGAGAAAAAAAGCCTCATGATTCATTTCATTGGTTTTTAAAAACATTGGAGAGAAAGATAGGAAGAACGATAGAAAAAAATAATAATAATAAAAAAATGCAACGAAATAGAGATAAGGGATGGAACCAATCACAGTATCATCATTTCGTGTGATACAGTTCTCGATGATCAAACGAGATGGCGTTTTTCATCTTGTTTTTGCCATAAATTTTCTAACAGTTTCTTCTCTTTGATAAATTTGCAACCAATTTTATTTCACGACTTGATGAACTTTGAAAATCTTATCAAGTGGAAAATTTCGATGTTGGTATTAGTAAGTTACAGATACGTGGACCCACAGCTAACACTTAATGATGAATGATGAATTAGTCGCTATTATAGAATGCTTCGCGATACCTTTACTAAGCATTAACTGAGGGAATGCTATTATGATCGGGATAAATTCTACTAAAATTAATATGAAGATTATGAGCTGACCAACGAAGACTTTACCTCAAGACTCAAAGCTTCACTCAAATCGATTCAAATCCGAAATTAACAAATGATATGTCCAATTTTATAACATACTTCAATTTCCACACTTGCTAGATATGTCCCAAGACTATGATATCAGTTTTTCACTGATTGCAAGATCTCTAAGTAAAAATACCAGTTGTGGAATTGAAGATAACCCGCAGTCGTGATAAATTAAATATTGGGATTCTGTGGATGGATAACGATGTCACCTCACAGCGGTTTATATACACGGTGCAGTTTCATTTATAGCTAATGATCGTACCTCATCAAAGGAATAAAGAAACGTTTGCTTACAAATGGAATATTTTCGCAGTGTAGGAGATGTTACGGATTAGACTGAGAGATTTCGGCTGGCTTCCTTAATCCAACATTTCTGGAAAATGAATGGATTGTACCTCGTTACTAACACCATTATTTTATAGGTATGAAAATTTTATATTTCATCAAAATTTTGCTTCACAAAGGAAAAGGTGATGTATTTTATCGAAATAAAGGTCTAAATGGAGCTTGCATTGTAGAAGGCATTTAAATTTACTTTGAAGCAGGAAGCCATCGTGACCTCACCAAAGATCGACAGTGATCCACTGTTTAGATCAAACGAAACTTCCTTTTAATCAATAAGAGGACTGAAACTAATGCATGAACCTAACTCTTTTTCTTATACCGCTCTTTAGTACTGGTTACATGGAGCAGTACCAGTAAATTGTATGGACATCATTCAACAATAGATTAGTGTCAATGGAATTCTTGAATTTATTTTGGGAGTTTTTTTTCCAGAGCTGATTGTCCAAGGCCAATATCAGCAGGTTTTGTCTGGCTAAATTTGGGTCCAGACCTACCTGTCGATATTGCCCGCGGGCAGTCACGCACCTTGTCTGTTCTCATATTTTAATCCAGATAGTCATGGGTGTTACAAAAATATGTCACATTGCTTGTTGCAGATTAGAAGTTCCCACTTAGCTTAAACAGTCTTGAATGCTGGATAATGCTATTATCAATTATCTGAATTTCGCTATTACAGAATTTCGCTATTACAGTAGCTTCATTTCCCATAAATTCTGATCACTGCAAAGAGGCAATAATTCATATCTGGTATATAATGTATATTTCCGTTTATGATGTTCCGGAAAAATAGGCAGTATTTTTTAGCTCTTCCACTTTTTGCTACAAATTTCTGTTGAAAAAGTGGTTACAATTAGGAACTTGAATTAATTGACCCTATTCATAGGACCGAAAAGTTCTGTTTTTGCTTCATTACAGACACTTTCAACCTTGTCGTTATCCATATGAATTTGTTAGGTAGTTTTCTTTGTTCTAAGATATCTGTAGTAAAGAACATAAGATGCACAGCCACTGTAGTAAAATTAAACAACAGCATACACTGTGCTGTTCAATAGAACTGGCAAATTATCATCAGATACTAGTTTAATAGACTTATCTGTTGTATCAAAATATAGTAAACAAATATTTCTTCGTCAAAAGAAACACAGCAAAACTCATTAAAGCATTACTTTGTAGATGAACAATTTACGGGAAAAATCGTTCGTTATTGTAAATTATCGTATAAATTTTTACTTTACAGAAAACATTTAAGGATTGATGGCGATAATAATCATGATAATGATGATAAAAATAGTATTAATAATAATAACGGCTCTTTGACAAGGTTACCTCTTTATTGCTTTTGGTTTTTTTTCACAGAGCAGAAGTAAGTCATAACAGGAAATCATCTTCATATTTATGGAAATTATTTTCATATTATTTATATGTCAATACTTCGATTTTGGATTTTCACCGTTTCTGTTCGTCATGCTTCTTCCAATCTTTCATTCGTTGCAGAATTAATTGAGTGACAATCTTATAAATTGCATTCATGTTTGTTCATGTAACACTTACCAAGGATCAATTTTACCGAATACAAAAATAAATTCTCCATTTCCTGAATTTTTGTTTTAAAAAAAAGATCATAATGTAACCTCATAATAGCTAAGGTGCCCTTACCAAAGTATGCAAGTCAGTATTTGTTTGACCATGCAGCTTAGCTTTATCAGTTCATACAATCCATTATATATTTGTCGAATAAGCTGGGAAGAAATACTGTTATTTTCTTTTTAAAAAAAGAAAATCTAGTATTTCAACTTTTGTAAGCAGTGAGTAAGCATTGCTCAAAAAATTTCGGGAGAAATCTTTACAGAAAGAGAAGAAAGCAAAGAAATAACTTTATCCAGAACATTATTTTCGAGTAACATGAAAAATGCATCAGCATTTTCTATTTGACTCTGTTTTTAATGTTGATTTGAAAAATGAAATATTCGCAGTTTTAGATGTCAACTGTCAACGGATAGGAAGAAATGAAATTTCCAGATATTGGATTAATCGGAATGGTATTTCGATTGAATGGAATAGAAAAAAACCAAGTTATAATTTGAAAAAGTTGAATCACGTCGCAGCAACAAGCTACGTCTCTCCGAAAGGTCCATTTAATAATTCGTTAGCATTAAGCAGTAGTCCATCTGATGGAACATGTTTGTCTATTTGATGAAATTTGTGAAAAATTGATAAGAACCACCTTATCGCTTTTCCGATAAATTTCATGACAACAGCGCCATGAGCACTCAAACGCCCATCACTTGCCTGGTTTTCTTTCCCTGCATTGACAATATTTCAAAAATTAAAAAATTCGTAATATTCCGAATGTTTGTCAACATTTTACATAAAAAAAAGTTTTGACAAACCGTACAACAATTAATTGGTTGAGAAAAATGAAAAAGCGATTCATTAACAGGAAATGCTTCCATGCAAGAAAAACTAATTCTGTTCCCTAATTTTCATCGAATATCACAACTTCATGTAAATCCTTATTGACGTCGGCTTCGGGTGAGTTGTTTATATCGTCCCAAGCTGGATTGCATGTGAATGTAATGAATAGGTTTGGAAACATACACAATGGCATCTTCAGCGTACTCATGCATATGACCTGGATTGCCTGCATATGAAGATGGCAGAATCGTTAGACTTCCAACGTTAATTGAATTACCGTAATTTACAGCTGCATGTCGCAAATGAATGTATTCTTCAAAACGAAGCTTAGTCTGATTCAAACGGATGAATGTCAAACGTTTTGTTTCGATTTTTGCATACATATCTATAATGAATGTATTGGTGAAACAATGGCATTTCAAAACGTGATTATCTTCATTCTTTCGAATAATTATCAGTATAAATAATAGTTCATTGCACTGCATTTCATATTTGTTTGTTTCACCACAGATTGGATTTATCATCTTAACATTTGAAAGATATCTATCGACAACCATCCCAAAGATATTGCAGGGTATGGTAGCATTGAGGAGGTTCTGTAAATTTTATCAATTGATCGT